ATTTATGAGAGAGCTCACTCTGCTCTCAGCCCCTTTCCTGGCTTGTCCGTGGCACTCTGCGCTTCTGAGCAGCCTCAGATAGCTGGTGGGATTGAAAACAAAGCAGCTTTGTGTTTTGCTCATTCTTATGAAGCCCCTAAAATTGATGTTGGGCTGGAAGTTACTAAGTCAATACGCTGCCAGAAGCTGGTGGGCTAGATAAGCTATTTCCAGCCCTGCGTGGGGATAAGGCCCAATAGCTCACGAGAAGTGAGCTGAGAACACCCCTTCCTGTGGGGCAGAGGCTCTGATAGATTGTAAGAGAGCTAACCTTACAGCTATAACTGTAATGCGTAGAAAAGCTACTCTTTGCTATTTCCACGTTGCATTGTGTATCGTATTTTCTCTCCCTTGGCAGTCTTAACAACTGGACTCATGATGCCAAGCAGGCCTGGCTTATATAGGAAGAGGAATATGACAAATAACACCCATAAAAATGTTTACAGTTTTCACTGTCATTTCTAAAATACTGTTTCTGAGAATTAAGTTGATGCAAAGGAAATTCACAGTGATGGGGGAAGCTTTTACAGGTGCCAAGTCGTGATGACCTGCAAAACACAACTGTGTGGCTGAAAGACCTGTGAGTGCCGTACCAAGTTTGCGCAAGTAGGAACCTGAGATTCAACCTATCCAGTCCTTGTGCTCTGCGAGAGATTGCAGGTTTAGGGCAGAATCGTGGGGGTAATCTTGCAGGATTCAGCCATCAAGAGTTGTGCTCTCCATGGCTCTTCTGCAGCCCTTTTCTGTATGCTGGTGCTGTATGTACGATTCTGTGCTGGAGCTCATCCATGCGTCATACGAGACATAAGTTGCAATTGTCCCTTACCCTCATTTTGGTTGGTATTTTGAACGATAAGAATAAGGATGCCCCAAAGGGTATGTGTCTCATGGCAGTAACCTCAAGAAAGGTAGTCTTCTGGTGAGCTGGTGAAAGAGCTACGTAATTGCAGCTGCTGTAAAGGGGGTCTCGGCTCCCGTGTGGGGCTATAGGAAAGGCTTTTTGCATTAGCTTTGCCCTTAAAGATAGCAAATCTGTGGTGCAAAAGAATGCTAGAAGAGAAGGGGGGTTAGATTTCTGTCACCTCGGAAAGGAGATTAGCAAAGCAGGCTGTCAAGTGAGCATGAGATATCCTCTGCACATGCTGTCATGCTAGATGCCAGAGGGACATTCCTGGCTCCTTGGTGACTGCTGCTAGCAAGACCTCAGCCTGTTCTTGGCTTTTCTAAGTTTCAGTTTGTAATTGAAAAAATGGGTTTTTTTCTCTCTCCCTGTCTCCCTTCCCTTTCTTCCTGCCTCTCTCTCCTTGCCTCTCTCTCCTTGCCACTTCTGCATCTGTCGTCCAAGGAGGAAAACTACAGCTTGCAATGCCCCACAAACACGTGGTAGTGCCTTGCTTGCTCTGACCTAACACCTACCTGATATACACCCCATCTGAAAGTATCTGAAACCTAGAAAGAACTATTTTAGAAGGTCTCTACTGGAAAGTAAATTCATAGCATGTTTTAATCTGTATTAAAAGTGTAGTAGCTATTCTTGAATAAAACTATGTGCTGACAAACTCTTTTCCTGGAATAAAAGTATCCATGTATTGGCATAAATAGCAGGATAGCTATTACTGAAGAGCTCCATGTGCAGACAAGTTAGTACAGCTAGTGAGGGCTGGAAGGAGCTGAGGCATGACTGAACCTCATAACTAGACCTAGATTAGACTTTTGCCAGAGGGAAAGGCAAGGCAAGAGCAACTCTGAACTCCTATCGTCACCTGTGGTGCCTGCGCATAGACACCCCTCAGTGTCCCGGGGAAGGCAGCGGCGGCCTGTTATCTCTGGGGATCATTGCTTGTGGGGCAGGCACAAACTTGTGCTGGGCTCTGCTCCTGGCTGGCTCGGGGTTTCTCGACAGCCGCTCTCCCTGCAGTGGTCCTCCTTCTTGCTGGAGGCCCGTGCACCTGAAGCCCTGGGACCATCCTCCTTTCTGTCCTTCTGAGAAAGCGCTCAGCCCTCCCTTGAATTCGAGCCCTGGATGCTGTGGCCGCCGGCCAGAGCGGGCCCCAGAGCTAAGCCCCAACCTTGGTGTGTCTGAGGGGCAGTCAGAGGAGGGACCGGCTTTCAGAGTCCCCTTAGCGATGTGCCCTGGCGCCGCAGCCTCCTGGGAGCGCACCTCAGCTCTTGCAGGTCTGCGTTGCCTCCGTGCCTGGTTGACGTGGGATCACACAAATCCTTGTTGCCCGTGTGTCTCTGTAGCTGCAGCGCGCTGGGGCTGCTTGCTCGAGTTTTGGCTCGAGCCAGGCACTCTGCAAACAGGATTTAAACCTCCTGGCGTGTGCACTTTGCGCTGCAGAAACCGGGCTGTGTCGGTCCTGGCACTATCCCGGGGAGCCGCCTGTAGCTCTGCAGCACTGGAAGCGCAACTTCTCTATTACTGTCATTTCCCACTGTAGTTTTTGGGCTTGTTCGTAGCTAAGGGAGAAAAAACTGTGCTGCAGGAGCCATTCGCGCCTGCCTGCCTGCACCCATGTTGTCCTCGATGCGAGTCTGGCAGGGCTAAGGGTGATCCCAGGGCGAGTGCACGGGTGCCAGCCGGCTGGGGTGTTTGAATGCTCCTGCCCGAGCTCAGCAGCAAGGCTGGGCTTGAAGGGGGGGGGGACACAGCAGCAGAGCAGTACTGTAAGACTCTTTGGAGTCTAGAAAATGTTTCATTTAGGATTTTCAGCATGGCAGAGGCATCTATGTTCCCATGTTCTTCTGTTGCACCCAGTGAAGTCATGGTTAGATCGTATAATTTCTGCTGGTCTGTGGTTCCTTGCAAGCTGCGGATTTCAATTTAAGAGCTAACTCCAGTGCAGCCGGCCAGCAGTGTACCTGTGGGTCAGCCACACATGAAGGAGTTTCTAATCCTCTCTCTCATTTCTGTGGACAAAGGATCACTGCAGATGACGAGAGATTTCTTGCACGAATGCTGGGTTTAGATTTGCTTTTAGCTATGTGCTAAGCCTCCACACAGACTTCGGATCAACCTAACTAGGTGATACTTAGCTTAGCCCATTCTGTGTAAACTCTTGAACAAACCAGGAAAGAGTTTAAATATTAAACACGACGATTAGGTTAACTCACTTCAGGGCTTCGGCCTCCTTGGACTGAACGTCTGCTCCCATATCAGAAATAGCAAGGTGCTGCACTTTAGGCAAACATCCAAGGGAATGTCATTGTTCACCACTTTTCATATGTATCTTCCTTTGCCATTCAGTCTATACCGGGCTGTACTTTTGTGTGTATGCTTCTTTTGTTTCCTTTCAGCCATGTAGGAGTATGCATTGTGGATGCTGAGTATTGAGTGCTTCTGTTGCTTGTTATTGAATACTGGCTCTGGTGTCTTTCCAGTTAAGCTCTATGTACCTTTTGTCTTTGAAAATCAATGGAGAGCAAATTAAAAAAGAACTAGTTTTCAGTGATACCTTTCATAAAAAAAAAAAAATCCTTTTATGTTTGTTGATGACAAGAGAGGTTTCTAGGGAGGCCCATCTGGGAAACAAAATATGGCCAGTGCTCTTAATAAGCCTTAGGAACCTTTTTTTCTGTTAGAAAACCTTGGATGCCTCATAGCCGCTCTCATCTCAACAGAAAAACAAAATTTCAGGGCATTGTTGTGTTTGCAGCAGATGTTGCCTTGTGCTGCAGTGTCTTGATGTGCAAACAAGTGAAGGGTCTTGGGAATTCTCCTGAGGTCTTAGGAAAGAATATCTAAGATTAGTTCCCAAAAGCCAGGACTGTGCAGCAGGTTTGGCGGTGCAGGGGTAGGGAAGACACCGGATGTGGCCTATTGCTAGTACCTTCCTGCTGGAAGGGAGGGAGCAGGGATCCGGATACACGGTGATAACAGCGTGCAGCGACAAGTTTAGACTCCTCGGGGACTTTGGAAGATGCTGAGGTCTTGTTTGTTTAAACGTTGCAGTGAGCTGGGAGCCTTGCAGGATTTGATTTGCCACAGAAGAGGGTTTGCGTAAGTTACCTTAAAACAAGGCAAAAAAGAAAGAAATGTACTAAAAATAATTGAGTTTCCGGTGCTTTGAAAGCTTCTCAATGTTCTTCAAATTCCCTTCTTCTGTGAAAGCATGTCCTTTTGATTGCAGTTCAGGCTTAGCAGAGTACAGTACGTCTTGCCACAGAAAGTAAATGAGCTCTGCTCTGCAGCTGCTATTGAATGACGATGTTGGAGCATGCCTCGGCTTATCAGTGAAGGCTGCCTAATATATTCAGCCCAGCCTACCTGAGCGTGCTCTGCAGCAGCAAGCCCAATTAACTATTTTTCTACCTGCTGTATGAATGGTTTCAGCAGTTATGGAGGTGCTTCATTTCACAATATTTCAGTAAGACATGCCAGAGAGTGCACTGGCATTTGTCACGCACCTCAGTTGCTCTCCGCTGCCCAGAAAATGCACCAGGAGCTTGCCACAGCACAGGCCGGTGAGGCTGTGCCTGAGCAGAGTGTGGCTCGTTAGCTTTACGTTCATTAGTTTCTAAAAGCATTCTGAATCAGATCTAGGGGTATGAGGAAGAGATTTACAGTGTATCCTACCAGTGTGACAAAATGTTCCTAGTCAAAAAGAGAAAATGGGCATTTCTGGACCATTCTAAGGGTTTTGATTGTTTAGCTGTTGTTTTTCAAGATGCCTCAAACTATTTGGCTTTGTATTTGTCTGTTATCTTCAACTCGCAAATACCTGCTTTTACTGAATTATTAACAACAATAGACGGAGCTTACGTATCAATGAAAATTACGGACGTTTCCCAAGGCAATTGATTTAAACAGAGTTAAATTTAGTGGAAGCCTCTATTGGTATAATGAATGCTCATTATAGAGTCTAATGTGCTTTAAGGGCTTGAAAACCTTCTCAGTAGGGAAGCCAGGCTGCTGTTTTCCAGCAGAGGCACAGATGCTGTACCATGGCACTGCTGTCACGATGACTGTATCCCATCACTGTGCCGGAACATGTCTCTTTAACCTTGTGCGTTGTTTTCCTGTTGCAGAAGACCACCTCCCAGCTGGCTTCCCCACCATTGATATGGGCCCGCAGCTCAAGGTGGTAGAAAAGGCCCGCACAGCCACGATGCTTTGCGCCGCCAGCGGTAACCCTGATCCTGAAATCTCCTGGTTCAAGGACTTTCTGCCTGTCGATACTGCAACTAGCAATGGGCGAATAAAGCAGCTCCGCTCGGGTAAGGTAGCCAAGCAAGTAAGCCCTCCCTACCTCCTCACTTCTTCCCCTATTCTCTTTAGCTGCTACAATTTTTTCCTCTGTGTGATGCTGAAATGCAGTTCTAAACCCAAATGTCAGTTTGATTTGAGCTTATTTCTTTTACAATATAAAAACAATTTTTGGAGCTGATCCGCTCTGGCAGGATATCGTGGCTTGTTAAAAGGAGGGATTAGCATGGGCATGCCTTTTGGAGCATCACCTGGATTCCTTCTTCGATAGACTGTCTTGATTTTGCCCCAACTCCTTGGTAGGCTCAGACATTTCACTACCAATGCAAGAGGCCTCAGATACTTTTAATGGGAGCATAGTGCAAATCGTTATAATGAAACAGAGGCTGAGGTTTTACAGTCAGTGGTCACGTGCTACTTCACTGCTTACATAGACTCTGCAAGACAACACTCTACTTTCTGTGGAGATCTTTATCATTTTTGCTATGTGACAGGAGAAGAATTAAAAAAAAAGCCGAGAAACATCAGTTCTGTGAATTTCAAAGGGAGGTGGACACAGTTTGAAGGCACACTTCCTTTTTTTATTGTTTGATAAACCGAGTACAAGTTTTTGAGAGACAAGCTGTTAATTCCTGTTGGTGGCTAGGAAGGCGCTCATTTTTGCAGGGAACTCTTATTTTTCTGCTGCGCTGTTCAGTCTCCTGGGACTGTAAGGCCTGTTAGAGAATTAAAGCAAATAAAACATTGCTTTATTCATTGATGAATAAAAGTGCAGCTCCCCAGGGTGAATTGCAGAGGCTGTTTAACAATGCAGAGCAATGCTCCACAGCAGCTTTAGTCTGGGGGAAAAAAGCCCTCTGTAGCCTACAGAAAGTGCAGAAGAGAACGGAGCTGGAACAGCTTCTGTCTAGAGAGGTCTTGTGCTTAAATAAGAGGCAGACTGCCTTGCCTGGCTGTGCTGCATCTCTGGGCTCTGAAAAGGCATTTGTCGTGAGGGTTGCTGCCAGGACAATACCATCTTCCTCCTAGCAAGGTGAACGTTTAATACGTTTCTCCGTAGCAGGTGCCCTCTGCATAAGTCTGACGATGCTTGGCTGATAAGAAGCAGCCTTTAACTTGGGGGAGTGGGTAATGAGACATCATTCTTGTCAGAAATAGAAGCCAGCCTGACACTCCTGATCCCACCTTGATGTACCACGGAGCGCTAATTATACTAATGCATTTATAGCTTATGAAGTTTCCCAGTGACCTTTAGCTTATCTCCCCCACAACATGGTTTAATCTTGATCTGTTTGCGCTGAAAGAAAATATCACACTTGTTAATTATTCTGAGACGCTTTAGGAAGCAGCGACAGGAAAGTGCACATGGATGTATTTCACTTCATAGCTGACTAAATCAGCATCAGAAATTACCATAAACGAGCAGCAAGGCAGCTCCTGATGCACTTGCTATACGTTCTCCAACCCCCTTTTTACAGGCACTTGGCTGCCTCTCTGCCAGCTGCGTCACAGGTTTGGTGAGATAGAAGGCTTAAAAACAAGCCAGTAAACCCTGTCACTGTGTCCAAATTTTGTTTCCTATTTGCCGTTCTTGAGCAACATCTCAATTGAATGTTTCACCTGGGATTCCAAGTCTAGAGCTGGCTGCTTGCTGAAGACACGGTAATTACCAAGGGAGGTGTCAAGGGAACCTTTTAGAAATCAATGAGCAGTGCACATCCTCAGACTCACGAAAGAATTGATTAGCTCTCTAATGTAGTAAGGGAGGTTTCCACAGGTCAATGCAAGAGACTTCCAGATATGACTGAAGATTTATTTTCAGGGACCAGATGATATGAAGCCAAGACTCGCCAAGGCTCTGTCCCACCCTTGCAAGAGTGGGCAACGAGAAGTTTACCGCTTCTCATGGGCCAGAGCTTCGACCCAAAGCTAGCAGTTTTCATGGCTTTTTCCTGTATTTCTAGTTGGTGTAAAGTAGGGCCTGCCCTTTTGGAGTGCCTAGGTCCCACTCACCCGACCGCAGTCATCCTGTGCGAGCGCTGCGGTACGTTGAGCAGTCTCTGATCCATTTTGCAAGGTACTAATTGAACTCTCTAGTACTACGCCATAGTTGGGCAGAGTTGTTTCTCAAAGAAAAGAGTATTTAAATAGATACCTCATTATATGGGAGAGTTTAATAGTTTGCAAAGTCTCTGCTCCATTAAGATTGTATCTTACCGCCAGCCTGGCATATCTGCATGAATGTCAGTTTATACTGTCTCAATCTAAATATACGCTCATTTAATTTCATTTAATTAAAACCCAATAAAACTAGACAGATGTAATATGCTTAAAATAGTTACGATGCAATGTCAGCCCGATACTGCGTGCATAGGGTGTCCAACCGTCATCCAGTACATAATATATTAGTATTCAGATTTACTAAATATAGGTCATAAAGGTCAAAGCAGCTTTGGAATCCAACTTAGATGGAGGCTTGAGGGGTGATTTCATTTCTTCAGCCACCTAGTGCGATATAAATAGCTAGAGGTAAAAAAAACACATGCCTGGGAAAGGTGCTCTCTTCTGACACTCACAGTTATGTGGGCTGGCAGTGCTCTGGGGGCTTCAGGCAGGTCTTTGAACTAACACGCCATCAGATCACGTGTCCAAGTGGGCTCTGAACAACAGTTTCTAGAGGTCTGTTCATCTTCAGTGAAGGTACTAGAGAGTTTGTGCCGTCTTAAGCCACTTTAAACCCAGAGTGTTAGTACCTTTGCTAGCAAGAAAGCTCCAGTTTACAGATCTGCCCTATGTTGTTCCTGTCCCTCATTTGCTAATTACACCTATGTGTGTGTAAATGCATTTTTCTGATTAAACCTTCTAATAGGTAGCCTGACTCTTTATGTTTAGGGGGCTTTTTTTCCCCTTCCCCCCAATACGTAAGTCCTTCCCCAAGAATAATGCTTAATTCTTCTGTAAGCCCAGTTCTTGGGTAGTTTTGTCAGTAGGTGCTGGGCTGGTTGCTCTGGAGATGAGAACAGGAATAAATACAGGTTTTCACCTCCATCATCACAGATCAAGACAAGGTCTCTGACTTAGGCTGGTTGTAGCAAAGTTCTTCAGTGCTTATCTTGCTAGGACTTCCCACCTCTTGTAGAGAGGATGCTTTTCTGCCAACCCAGGGGCTCAGGACATCTCCCCGTTCTCAGCCAGGGTGCACAGCTTCAGTCATTGCCGCTAAGTCATTGACACAGCACCTGAGGCCAACTCTGGGCTGGACACTTCCCCAGCATGCTAACTCACTTTAAAACCTGTTAGACTGAACTGATTTTAAAACTGGAGACTGTAGTATTGCAGGTGAAACATATATGAGTTCGGGCAGCAAGGGCTTGGGTCAGTGCCACACCTCCAAACATGTTTTAAAATTAGATGATGATGTGGAGGAAGTTTTCCCAATATAGATCAGATTTGTGCTGATGCTTCAGAGCTCTTTGGAAAGAATCTTGCATCTTGAGCTCCCAAGACTTCAAAGCAAATCTGGTGGTATTCATACTCTCATTCATACTCTCTTGAGTGCTTCCAGTGAGTTCCACATTTGAAGAGTCACTCTTCCACCTTGCTCTTCAGAGAGCTTATGAACAAAATGTCAAATTAGAATAAAGAAATATCCTGAATGTTAACGTACAGATATCTTTGCCATGTAAGGAAATGCCAGAAATTCAGGGAGCCTTGTCATCTTCTATCTGTTAAAGAACTTGGTGTAACAAGTATCATCCTTTTTTAATCACCATGAATTAACTGCGTTATGGAGCCATGCCCAAGACCTTAGCGTGACTTTCAGGCATTTAATTGCAAATAAAGTATCAGAGAGGGCTTTGCAGGTGACTTCAGTCACTCTCCGGAAAAGTGTAGGTGCCTCTTAACAAAGAAGCAGTGGGAGGCTGCTTACCAGATCATCTCGCTACATTTATGCCCTCAGAGTTACGGTAAGCAAGCATTTTTAATTCTGGTCTTGATAGCTAGAAGCACTACTAATATGGAAACAACAGAAATGCCCAAAATAAACAGCACAAACTTGCGAAAAGAGGCAGTCCCTGGCTCAGAGGGGCAGCAGCGTAACAGGTGACTGATACGTTCTCCTTTACTGGTAACAACCAGCACTCGGTGCCCAGCAGAAGTCACTCAGCTCTTGGCAAGATACAACTTGGAGTGCAGACATCAGATGGGCATCCACCTTGAAAGATGTATGTATGAACAGCACAAAAGAGTGGGGATCAGGGCAGTATTATCCAAAGGGATTGGGAAACCCACGCTAGGATGGGTGCTCTCTCGGGAAGGGACTGACTGGGCAAGAAGCTGAAGCAATACTGTGGCCAGCAGATGAACAGCTGAAGTTTTGTATCCTAGAAGAAAGCATCCTGTCCATCTGAGTCTGGCTGTGTGAAGTACGCAGAGCAATGATGGGATGCACACAAGACCCCCAGTTGCAATTGGTGGCAAATAGCCAGTCTCCCACGTACTACTCTCACTTCTGGAAATAGTTTCCCTAGAACTAGCTTAGGAAGTAGCTGAAAGCACTGACCAGTTTATCTGGGATTCAGCGCTGCATTGCTCTACTGCCTTGTGGCCAGCAGGAGCCTTGGTTTCCCTGTTTTATGTTGTTTTGGGGCTCTTTTGGTGATTTAGGTTTGTATAAGAAAGTATTATGTTGAGTTTGTATCAGCAGAGCAAAGTTTGGATCTTCTCCAGCAGAGCCTCTCCTCCACAATGGGAAATACTGATGCAAACAATCCTGCAGGGTTTTCCAGCGTATCACCCTATGTCTTGCCTCGCTTTGGGTGCCTGATTGCACATCTCCAGCACGCAGAGAAGTTGTCAGGGTCTGCATCCCTTGCTGCTGAAGTGACTGCCCTAGGGTGTTACTCAGTGCCGGTCATCACAGAGGCAAAACAAACTCTCTTCCCTTTGGAGTCTTTCACACCCTTCAAACTGCACAAGAAGTTGGTTTTGAAGTTTGCTATCGGGGGTG